GAGCAAAGAGTCAAACAGGACGCTTACAGAGTCGAAGCGGAACCCTGAGGAAAATACTGTATCTCTCAACAATCTAGCCAAAGCATCCGAATTAGATTTCTCACCTTGGCACCACCACGCCTTTTTCCTGCCCTGATATGACTTTTTCCAGTGCATTCCATTCATCGCTATTCGACTTCTGGTACTCGACCTGCAATTACGCATCGTAGTAGTCGCATAGTATATCACATGATAAACTTCAAAGTTGATAAAGTAATCAAATGACAAAGAAAATTAGCAGCACCTGCACAAATCGCACTGGAGCCTCATCTTCATCAATGCCATTGTCATCCCATCGAATAGCTATGCTATCCGAGCCGTATTTTGTGTCGTTGCGGGTTGGTACTGGCGGTGCACGAACAGGCACTGAATTTTCAAATTTGCTAACCACCTTGTCTAGAAATCCTTTGTAAAAACAATCATTTGATTAAATTATATCCATTGCTCTTTGCGATAAGCCCTGGTGTATGGCGAGAAGCGAGCTTGTCCATGACACCTACCAAAGTTGCAGACCAGGGTCGGTTACCGTTTACACTTCATTGCGACCAACACATTACATTCACACATGATTCGACCAGGATGTACACTATTCATTCCCCCGAGGAGGAATTTTTTATTACTTTCCACAATTACAGTGAAAATTCGATAAGCTTCCTCTGCTACCGCCGGGGCTAAGTATTGAACGGCCCCAGTCTTTTAAGAATTCACCTTTCATCAGTTTCATAAAAGGCCATGTCTACCGCTTGTGCCGTGGAATAACTCACCTCGAACCGACGTCGTCACCACCTGCACTACTGCTTCTGGCCCCACAGCGACAGAGTTTTCGGCTTGAACGGCAAACGTATACTGCTTGTTTGGTTCCAGCCCTGAAACCTCAACATGAGTAGTGCGTAAGCTTGCTTCTTCAAGAAAAGCATATAGGTAAAGTAATTCAGCAGTAAATATACACAGTTGTATTTTTGAGTAAAATATCACTCCAAATGAAGAATTTCTCCAGAAGAACCACTTACCATTGGCTGTAAAAAACAAGAGAGTAGACGACAGTGGAGCTCTTATTGCAGTCGTTCGATCTTCGTCAGATTTCCAATAGGACACGAAGTACGCCTGAAAAGCAACTTAATATTTCGCAACTGACTAATTTTCACCTACTCGCCACCCTGCTGTACATGGCCGCTTAATTATGAAGCAAAATGGCTCCGAAAAAAAGAGGAGTCACAAAGAAGCGAGAAAACGAAAATGGGAGAGCTAGAAGAGAAAAAAGACATGGAGATAGATGGTGGTAACATGTTGAGCAGGAAGAAAATATGGAGGGAAAGCCCGCGCACGGTAGAGTACCAAAAAGAACATGTGAGTAACACAAGCGCGCTTATTTTATTAGAGAACCAAAGAATTGGAGTCTGCATTGAGTTCTAATGTTCTTGAGGCAATCTCTAATCATCCACAATCATTTGGCCTGGCATAACCTATGAGTGGAAAACTATAGCCGTTTGAGAAACTTGCTTCACTTGGCTTTATAACAAGTAACAAGAATTGCTATCAGAAAAACATCGAAACAGGCAGAGTGTGTGCCCCTGATTCTCTCTCACTCAGCGACGAGCTGTGAAATGGTCAAAATGCCGTCCCAGTAGCTGGCAGCCTGGTGTGCGGGTCTGAAGGCACCACGCGGTGCTGCAGCGCCGCGGATCCTAGCGCAGTATGCGAAAAATCCGCGATGCGCTTAGCTCATGCCTAAGGGCACGACAAAAAGGAGCTCATAACCCGCCCATGGGGATTTGATTCAGCGAAGTGTTATGACGCCGCTTACTTTCCGTGTCCCATGTGTCATCTGGCCCACGAGTATCCAGAAGGAACTTCACCCCTTTCAAAGTTGCTTTATGGTTTTGATTAATTTAAGATCGCGCACCCGCTAACCGGTTTGGCTCAAAATCTCCAAATTCGGAAGTACACACCACTTTTTGAAAATACATACAACTTCCCTTCTAGTCCGATTATGAAAATTCTCACCTTGATCTTTCCATTGGGGTTTTCAGGAGAGTGTCCACTTGAGACGCACTTCGTTTTCGCTGATCAAAGAAAATGAGACACCAGTTGGCACTTCTGGTACTAAAAATTGAAAGAAATATCATAGAGTTAAAGTGAGTTCACTGGAACAAACATTATTGTACAAAAAAGAAACTGAAGACTCTCTAAAGAAATAGTGACAGACAAAGGCAACGCACCATCTTCAGGAGTCAAAACCACCGTAGGTACCCGATTCTCAGGTCCACATCCGACTATGGTACATGCAGAGACAAAAACGAAATAACTGGTGAATGCTCGCAAACCCGTTACCTGAAAAGATGATTTTTGGAACGCTTACAAAGCTGGTCTCATAGACAAGTAGTCAAGCTAGACTGCTCAAAAAACCATTTTGCATGCCTTAATAGGGTTACCATGCCGTAGAAGAAAGTTCCCAAAAATACGACTTCACCCCTAACCTACGCCTATTTATCAGTAATACTACCCTTCTCGCTTCTCTTACATCAAACACTTATACATCCGACCAACCAAGTGCCTAGCTCTTCCCGAAAACCCGTTTAGCATGGTTAAGCAGGGTAGAGAGGATGGTAGGAAGGAGCGGGTCGCAAATAGAGCAGAAAAAACTGTAAAAAATTCTCGAATCGCCGGAAAACCCTTGTCGTCCCCTTACAAAACCAACCCCTTCTTCTCATCTCTCAAACACTGTACTCTGCCCATTTTGAAATCTTTCCAACATAGACTAGTTGGTGTCAAAAAACTAAGATCCTCGGATCTAGGGTTCGTAATTTATGCTTGGGTTTTTATCCATTTCATCACGAAAGTTTCACAAAAAATTGTCTAAATAATGCCTACTGCTTTACAATCCTTAACAAATCCCCCAGCTTCCATATATGTATCGGAGATGTCAATAATTGATAAATATTTCTTAAAGAATTGAGGTTTTCTTCAGAACAGGATGCACTCAGTTACTCCGCTGACCGGTACTTACCGTCTGTGCTAGTACTGTGGCCCCTGAAACACTGAACGTTCGCGTCCCATCTGCACGCAGCCACTCTTGTTCAGGCTCCAGACGGATCTAAACAAATAAACATTGCGGAACCAAACGACGCCGCCAAACATGTGTACACACACTTCAAACGATGCAGCGTTTTGGCATGCAAAAGAATCGCCAAGACACTACGCAACCGGACGCCAAGATAAGAGAAGTTGATGAGTAAACAAATAAATAAACATCGAAAAAACTAGTACTCAGAAGTAGGAAGGAGAAGCCCTGAAGGTAATCAATTTTGTTTTGGGATGAGCCACGCATTCTATTCCCATTCAAATCGTGAAGGCATTTGAAGGGGGAATGCAGACAATGTACAAGTGTTTTTTACTCTCCCAGACAAGGCTGATACCAAGTAGTAACCAGCTCGGAAGGATTTAAGATTTGAACAGCACAATTCAGAATTTGACCTCAGGACTACGCCCGTGGTAAGTAGCCTCAAATGACACTGCACCACCTCCGCCATTTTGAGAGCAACAAAAGAAAATTTATATAGTTCTGAAGCTCATCGTAAGAACCACCGATGCGATGTGCCTATCGGCGCTCATGCCTTTGTTGTTGCTTGCCTCTGGTGTCATATCTCCCGCGCCTGCCTAAACATTATCACTCTTCCTCCAAATGACTGTCATGTGCCAATTCATTGCCACTCCCGCTTCAACCAAAGTTAAAGCGAGTACACTGCTAGCCATTGCAATACACGAGAGTTTTGAATGTTTGAAACTGCAAAAGAACCGAAGACCTTGTAGAGCCACTCAACCTGAATCAAGGCAGCCTTCCCAAAACACCAAAACCACAGACCTCATAGCCTCTGATGTTGCCATTGGCTTGATCCTCTTCGACTGTATCCCACTGCACAATTACAGCTCTTCTTGTGTGCCCACCATCGTGCTCGCCACGTTACGGGAGCACCTGATGGAACACCCTCATAGGTCCTAAATTGATATGCCTTTCAGCTATCAGTTAGGATGTGATCGTCTGGCTAACTCACTTTGGCTTCCGACGCTCCAGAAGATGAACTTCGACCAAACATGTTCTCTGCGAACAGCTGCACTTCGTAGCTGGTATACGGTTGGAGATCTCGTAGAATAAAGTCGCTGGCACGTAACGACGGGATTGACGGCATTTCAGTGCTTACAGACATAGATTGAACGCATGCTCTCATCGCTCTTTATAATTGCCATTTGTTACAGCCTAATTCAGTGTGAACTTCATAAATAATTCCCGGGAGTCCTTACGGCACCCTTCCGTGATCGCCTACAGCACGGTTATACACTCGAGTAAGCTGACGCAAAATCGTGTGATTGGTTTCGGTAGACATTGAAAAGCAGCCGAACAAAGTTGCTGAGAGCGCATTGTAGCGCGATCGTATCGGGCGGGATTGGACACTCTCACTGGTCGACTACCCTGCCCCGTCGCCTCTTACTGCATCCCTGGGGCGACCGATGAAAAGCCGCAGCAACGCTTTATCACACGAACAACGAAACTGTGTTTTCAAAATACCAAGCGAAATCGCTACTCTTTAGTACACGGTCGACCCAACAACGCGCACATTTTACATTTAATTCCCGCCACAATAATCATACCTTAAGCTATCCGCTTACTTATACTTCTTTTTCTGGACAAGAATTTTCCAAGGATAACCCCTGAGATAACGACTCCAACAGGATACAATTTGTATCTGATATGCTCCGGAAATTTGTAACACTCCCAAAGCTCTTAACTCTTCTCCCGTTCGAATAGCTGTAACCTGTGGATAACTCACCTGCCATGCTCGTACTGCTTTTGTACGAGAATCAAGATAGCCTTTTGGCTGACCATTCCATTGGTTCGCCAGCAACGGCGTCCACGACAGGGACAACGATGTCGACGACAGTGGCTCGGCAAAAAGACGTGAAGCAGGCGTTTCCGGGTTTGTTTGCTTCGTCTAAAAAAAAGGGGCAACTTTTCAGACCACCAATACGACATTCATAAGCAATATGGAAACGTCCGAACAGGTTCGCATTTTATATATGAAGTTCAACGCCATAATCCCAACTGCCAAAAAGCCTAACATAATGTGCACGGGCGTGTGGCAAGTACTGACTTGCATTGGATACACAGATGGCCAAAAAAACAGCAAAGACCTTTTTTTGTGAGAGTTTTAAAAAGTGCCTAAATTTTTAATCCTTTCCGAGGCACAAGCCATAAGGGCGCTTAGTAGCCTCTCCCCCGCACGCTTGCACTAGAGTCAAAATAATTTTCATGCCTTCATAAATGGAAGGAACAAATGAACGGAGAAGAGCATCCTTACCTCAAAGGCTATGGATGGCTCACTTGGAGCTCCTCGTCCTCTCACATTCTCTGCGATCAGACGCATTTGATATCGGGTGAACGGTCGCAGGCCGGTCACTGTGATTGAGCGCGCTTTTGGAGCACTGAAAATAGAACTTTCGATTTGAGTTTCAGGATGAAATCCCTCACAGGCTATTCATCCTCTAGTACTCTAAAAAGGCGTCGGAAAGAAATAAAAAAAGCCTACTGAAGAGTAAAAACCAACTGATCAAGAGCCAAATGACTGATGCAGAACAAAAGACTACAGTGGGCCAATTTTTCTGCAGAACGCTTGCGTTTATGGAAGGCATTCCCAGTAATAGAATTTGAAGACATAGAACTCAAAACCCAACATTCGTAAATGCAACCTCTAAATAGACCTCGCCTTGCAGTTGTTTGGCTCAACTAACCTTTGCATAACCCAAACGTTCACGTCGGAAAGCGAGCAGCACACTGTAGGCTGTCTGGGAAATTTATAAATTGAGAGCTTCGGGAACTCCAATCTCTCCAGCACGTTTCACATGGCTTGGTCATACGATTGTAAACTGACTCACCTCACGTTATAAACACAGCCTGAAAACACTGGAATCCGCCACTTTCGCCTCAACAATCCATTGCCGAATAGCTGTGTGGCCATCGAATCCCGGCACAAAACTGAGTAGCACTGATCTAGCACGGATATCTGACAGGGTCAACGAACTTGGACGACCAGGCAATTCTGAAGCACAATCCTCATTTATGGTTTAGCACTGTCTAAGAATCACTGCAGGAGCGTTCTTTTTTTGGAATGACAAATCGAATGAAAAACCAATTGGAGAACCTTACCGGGCGGAACACCGGATTCAAACTTCGTCTCTTCACGTGGTCCGTCTCCCTTCACAGTGGACGCCATAACATCAACTGTGTAATGTGTCGACGGAGTCAAACCCTCAATGGTAGCGTTTCTTTGTGAGCACTTTCAAACTCCATCACGCTCTTGTCGTCCGGGGATGCATCATTCCAGTACCGTAACTGAAAAGAAGTGGCATGATAAAGCCATGAGAATCGGAAACATTTGCCAAAAATTTCACCACCTACCACAAAACGAGTTATTATGCCGTTGGGATGCTCAGGGAGGTCCCACATAACGACCGCACCGTTGAACATCACCTAGAAACCATTGCTTTGTACTGATAACGGAATGATTACAAAGAACTATTTTTTTCCGAAATTTTGAAGGCTGCCCACCTCAGCTATGCTGAGCCCGTTCACGGGACCCGGTGTGTCTTCATCGGTCACAACTAGCACTGGATGATTCCGTGGACCATCACCAGGTGAAGTGTAACATAGCACCGTGACGTTATAATGACCTAAAGCATAAAAAACCTAACTTTGATATAGATAAATAAACAAGTAAATAAATAAATAAATGTGAGAAATGAATCAAATTTGATATCAATAAGTAAATAAATAGATTTTGATTAAAGAGCAAATTAATAAAAGAGGCTAAAAATTACCGTATTTCTCTAGATCATTCACAATCACTTTGAGATCACGGGAAGGTTGGATCAACTAGCACTTGACGATAGAGATTGCTATGTTGAGGCGTACCTTTCCAAAATTCCACCTGAAACGTAATTTCTAGAAAACCCATTGCTCGGCTGGAACAGCCATCTCTGCTAAACCTCAGCGCTACCTTGTATCCAAGGTTAACTCCGGGAATTCGCTGTTGGTCCGGAGCCGTAAAGGTGATCTCAACCGCTGTCGAGTTGAGCACATTTGCGATGACATTCTTTGGAGCTTGGGTTGGAACTGGAAAAAAGAAACTTTGACAGGAGAACTCAGGGGTTTTCTCCATCCCGAGCTGTCAGTAGTGTAACGTGTAACGGCCATAGCCAATCTCAAATACGGTTGGAAATAACCACTGACGCCACACTCGCCCTCGAGCGGAAACTTTCCCTCCACCGAGTGCGAAAGTATCGCTCAAGAAACGTTCACAGAATGGGAATGCTGAAAAAAGGCTCGACTTGCGAGAACCTTAATCCGAACCACATAGTTCTATTTCAAGTGGACAAAAGATGGTCAGATTCCCACTAATCCCGGGAATTTTTTGCACCCAAGTCAGCTCATATAGATTTGCTGAGCGATAATAAAATAATATTGCTGAAACCCTGAGCCTTTTTACCAAGTCAGCTCATATTAGATTTTTGCTGAGCGATAATAAAATAATATTGCTGAAACCCTGAGCCTTTGATGGATAAAGTACCTCCTTCAGCAGTTGTCACATCGATACTCTTGCTGAAGACACCCAATCCTCTGTGATTGTACGCCGCAACCTGGATCTCGTATTCCCGCCATGTAATCAGCTGGGTCAATGGCCTAAATGGCAAATATTAGGCTTGGCGACAATCTACACCATTGAAATTCATGTGATTGATGCATTCAATGAATTCATGAATACTCGTTTCTCGTTTCTTGTATTTAATAGGAAATTTCAGAAATTATACAGTGGAAGAGAACTATCAGGTCACCGTTCTTTTGTGTACAAAAAATCTCAGCGGTCGGCGGCTGCCATCACGCACACCAAGTAGGGTCTGGAGCCTCTGAGCCAATGGGAGCTCGCGTGCACATTCGGATACGGCTATCACGCTCCGTTTGTTTTTGTTTCATTTATCGAATACGTTTTAGTTACCAAATAACTCTATAATGGTCCTATGCAGCCAAACTTGATTAATAAACATACTCTGCCGACGTTGAACAAGGCAGGTGGTCGGATCTGTCGTGGCGCTGTCTGAGTACTTGATTGACTGCTTACCCTGCTCACTGTGGATTTGAAATTCAAATCGCCCCTTATCAAGCCACTCTATGGGACTTTGTTTCGCTGTGTTCGTTACAAAGAGAAACATTTGTGGCATACTGTAGCAAATCTCTAACCCTTACTAAAAATCCCTATTATGGCAGCGGTTAGCCGTCGTAATTTGCAACCTGCTGTCCCATGTAGCCGTAACCTGAGCCTTTCCAAACATGTGCATTTCAACAGCTGCTCAACTCGCTTTAGAAGGCAATAAGAACATGAAGAAACACTTTACAGAAAGTACGGACAAGAAAACGAATTGCTCTAGTAAACTGAAAATTACTTTCAGCCACTTACTGTGTTCCGTGCATCTTTGGTGGTGACGTTCTTTTCAATCCATGGGAGAGTGTAACCAGCAAGTCGATACCTGAACATGTGACAAATACTATATGTTGTTAAATGTGTGATACGATGTGTAAGTGGAAGAGCAATCCTTTTACTACTTCGCTCCAGTTTTACCCCAATCAGTTCGGGCAGAACACCTACCATTACCACATTCAAAGGCGGAGGGGGAGGGGGTTAAAGGGGCACGGGTCGCGATTAATTCTTCAAAGAAATTCTCTCTGCGGTACTACCGCAACTTGAAAGTGCGCATCAAGAAGCTAATGCCTCGCTTAACCGATGCAACTGTTGCCATCCTTATCAATCTCTGGCATATGTGATGTTTGCGCGTTCCTGCGTGAGATGTGCACTCTCGCCTTTCCCTCTTTTCGCAGCGCTTTGTCTCTCCATCGTACCACCATCAACCTCACAAAAAAAACTTCAACTGTTTTGTACTGTTCTAGCTTCTTTCCCCACTCACGTTCCTCTTCGCATTTCATGTCTCATTTTCGAACATTACAACGCACCAATTCGATCGCGGTCTGTGCCTTTAAATTCGTGTCAAAATAAGAGATTAAGCGCTCACCCTTAGCCAAACCCAATGACATGGATTCTATTCATCGGCACTCATGAATAGCGGTTTGCGACTGCAAAATGAACCAGGGTCTACTAGGCCGGAAATTTTGACCCTAATCAGGCATCGTAAGACTAGGCCACAAGAAAGCTATCGCAACCTTCATCGCGCACATGTGCAACAAAACAGCAAAACATG